AATACGTATAATTGAAATGGTACTTAAAAGAAATATGGTGCTCTCTGTACAATCGAATGTTATCGCTGATAGAGTAAGAGATAACAATCTAAGATAGTATCCGCATCTATTAAGTAATTGCACAATCGTTGCAAAATTGCAATTTGGAGTAAAAATTACACGTGAAAAGATTGGGGCGACGATATACGGTTTCAAAAACGCGTGATGAATCGATGAGAACGTAATAATAATTTACCAAAGGGGCGAGAAGCTAGGAAAATGGGGGAGGGGATAGAAGAGGCGTCAACGACGTGCCGGAATCCAGAGAGTATTCGTCGAACGACCATCGATGAAAGGAGAAACTTCGATCGTTTATCACGCGCGTTTCGAGGCCAAAGTTTCGCCCAAGTTAAACTGTTTGGACGAGCACGAGGCACGCGGATTATGGATCCAAATCGTCGATTGTTATCGTCCACGTCCCTCCCCCCTCCCCCCCCACCTTAATCCCGCGTGTCTTTTCAATAAAGCTTCGTGACCCCGCGGTTCCTCTCACCAAACTCACCATTCACAAACTCACGTTCCTTAATAACGAATTAAATTATATCCAATCCAATCGCTCGCCCTTCTTCGCCCCTATTAATGGCCATTTTTCCTTTATTATCCCCCACTCGACGCTTTCCCTTATCCTCGAGGAACACCTCCCTTTGCCCTTTTGAAACACCACTTCAGCTTCCCGCGCGAATCAATTGAACGAGTCGGAATGAGCGTCGAAATGATCGTGTTTTATTCACCACGTTCTTATTTCAATTCTATCTTTTGTCCTTTCATTGGCACTCCGGTGTTGGCGCGAGTATCGTTCAGAGTATCGTTCGATCGACTTCGAGATTCGATATTCATTGAATAAGAAAAAAAAATTAAATTCAAATTATCGTAAGAATGATTGTTAAACGGGCCAATTTTCTTCAAATCCAGGACAAGAAAACTATATCAATATAATATTTTTCGAATTCTTCCTATAGTTTAAATAATAAGGAATATGATAATGATAAAAATTGTAACAATAAAAATCTCTCTTATTAAGGCATGTTGCTCAATCTTCTTAGCATCGAATTATCGAGCAGCTTGCTCTATTTCCCCTTGAAACCCTTCTTCTTTGTTTACGTCTTCCTTTGCGTCGGAATATTTTTCCAACGACATCGCGAACAGACGTCGTTCGGCAAGGAAACACGGAGGAAAAGAATTCCAGGGCACGCTAGGTCGAAGCAATTAATCAAATCACGGAAGAGGCGTGACGCGGATTTTGAATATTCAACGAGTCGATATCGCGTAAAAAAACGACGATACATGTACGTTTAATCAGTTGATGATTTTCTCCACGCATTCGAGGAGCTTAACGTTGCTGCTTCGACCTTCGTGGCCTCGTTCCTTCCTTTCCAAAGCTGACCCTCGTAGATAGCCTGTCCGATCCAGGAAATCGGTATCGACTTCCCAATGAACGATGGAAAAGTACTCGAATTAATCAGTGATCGTTAAAGTGTTCGAAATTCAAGATGAAATTCACATGATATTTTCCATTTTGCAACAAAAATTTTATCAAAAATTACATCAAAAACGCGATCATGAGCAGAAATGTAATTATGGATTGGCAATAATCTCGATTCGTTGCGAAATATCGAGATGGAAATTCTGAAAATTCTTTCCAAAATTCGGATAAATTAATCGGATGATTTTATACTATGTTTTTAACTACTTCGTTCGCAAATAACCATGGATAAAAGTTTTGAAAAGAATTTTAGCGAAAAATATTTTAACATTTTGATATAAGAGAAGATTTTTTTTTAATAATAGTCGTAGGAAATAGATGCTATTTTTGATATTTGAGATGTATATTTTAATTTTTTTGGAACGCGTAGAATTGAACGGCGATTAAAATGTTTTTGTATAAATTGATGATTGTCACAGGGAATTGATATTGTTTGCGCGAACGATCGAATCAACATCGGAATACGGTAGTTATTTTGTAAAAATAATAGTTTCTTGTACACGCAATTAAATAACGTGTATCGCAGCTTGTCGACATAAATTTCCAATTATTAAAGCTATTTCGATACAGCTACGTAAATTTTAACAAATACACATCTATGATAAATACAGATCGATGAATAATACGATTTCTGGAAATTCGCTGATAAAACAAACATATTAATTAATTTCCATGAAATTTCAACGATAAAACAGTCACAGAGTGAAAAAAGTAAATTTTACGATCAGCATGTTTAAACTCCAATTATAGTATCAAGTGGCGTTGCAAAAAGGGCAATCCTCATTTGATTATCAAAGTTAAGCTGTATTAGCCATACAGCTGAAATGGTCAACTATCCTCCTGAAATTCCCCTATTATTATAGTTATCCCAGGAACCGCGACGATAGTGTTATCACAATGAGACTAATAAATCGAATAATTATAATAAATTATCGTATAATCCAAGTGATATTAGCATTTATAAAACACAATATTCGAGTAATTATTTCTTCGTAATAAACGTAAAAAGAATGTAATAAGCGTAAATTTTTTTATCAACATTTCTTTCTCGTTAAAGAAACATATCTGTAATTATCAAAAGCGTATTTATAAAAACTCGAATTACGATTTTATCTTTTAAATGATCGAACATATATTTTTTGGAACTATATTTTCTTTGAACGTAATGGAAACGTAATTTCATTTGTGTGAATGGTTAATAGTTTAATTTGGTTGAATTGTTTTGATATTTAATGCATCGAGAGAAATGTAAATATAATTTACTTATAATTCTTCGATCAAATATTACTTTAATTATTACTTAATTATTATTTGATTTCCAATTCTTTTTTTTTTTCTAAAGATCATAAATACAAAATCAAATAATATTGTTAATATTGGAATATTATATAATAAGCGATACGAAACAAAAATATTTGTTTGGAATCTTTTTTTTTTCTTTTTCCCCTCAACCCTTTTTTAATATGAAATTCATATTCATACCTTAATTTTCAATTGTGCATAGTTGGCAGGTGTGGCGAATGACAAATAAAGATATAGTCTGCACTACGAGTAAAGTCTGCTCGCCTGCAAACAAAGAGAACATCCAAGTTCAAATATCGTGGTTATTAAAGTACACACCGTTCAAACGTGAAACGAACAGAACAATTTACAATCCTTTGATAAAGCTAGGGAATTAATTTTATTTATTAATATTCATTCAAGCGGCGCTTGAAAAGGGAAAAAGAAAAATAAATCAGATCGGATAAAAAATTTAACGGTTCTCGATAACTAAATCGTTCAATGCTCAAAACGAACGATTCATCGGCGTTCAAACCTCGATCTATCGATCGATTCTTTTCCTTCCTCGAGCTTTCAAAAATCTTCTTCTTGTACCAAGTATAAGAAGAATTCTTCGACAAACAAGCAATTTACCCTACCCCGTTTTGAGAAAGAAGTTAAATCTCCGATAACACTTCTTCTATATACAACTTCTATACACCAATTCTTCGTAAAGCGAACATTAACGATATTGCGAGTATTTTTCTTGCGAAAACTCCTTAAAGATAGAATTTCCTGTAAACGCTAGTCATGCGTATCTAATCCAGACTCGGTCAACTTCTACACCGCAAACCGCTAATCACGAGCCATCCATCGTTAATCTATTCCTTCACAAGTAAGGCAAAGAAAGAACTATTATCTTGCATCATTTCATCTCTGTTATTGCAATACGATCTACACAAATATCAAAGTCATCAAAGCAATACGGATTCAATAATTTTTTATTATTCGCGTATTTTGAAACAATTACGTTCCTCCATTCTAAAAAAAAAAAAAAAGAATCAACATCTGTACTCGCATTCCAGTCGCTCTCAGTCCGTGTATCAAATCGTGCCGATCTTAATTGCACAACCTCGCAGTGGTTGGGGACGATGCGCGCGAAATTCGAGCGCCATCTAGCGAGCAATTAAGCGGTGGTGAAGAACGGAGAGAAGCTATTAACTCGGCCCATCCTCTTCGACCAGGCCTCCGGTTTGTTGCTATACTTTCGCGATAATGGTGAATTAATAGAGTAACCGTTAGAGAAGGGGGGAGACGTTGGGAAAAGTTTTCGATATCCGTCCTTCGCCACCATCACCATCATCCCCTTCGTCGTCGTCGCGAGGGAATGCGAACCGCGAGACGGTAGACGATTAATTAAGGAAACCGTTAACCGGGGGAGGGGAGAGAAACCGACTTATCTGCGACGATTGGCTGCTAAGTTACCCAACGGAGCAAATGTTTCAGAGTTTCAATCAGCTTCCACCCCCACCCCACGTGGAATAGCTACTTTGCAGTCGTTGCCATAAGACGCTCTTGAATGCGATTATAATAAATTCTTCTTTGAAAGTTGCCGAAGCGCTCGAATCCGCTTTCGATGATAATGGGTGGAAGAAGGAGGGAAAGGGGGAGGGGGAGGGGGGAGGGGGGGGGGAAGTGGGAGTGTTCGGCTTCCTCGGATCAAGGGATTACGATTTGCGTGACAAACCTCGCAGATTTTTACGGAAGACGTTTGGTTGAAGATCTTTAAGGGAGGCTTTTACATGGATTTTTACAAGAATCCCTCGATGTGATTATTTTAATATTTTATGTATCTGTCGTTCGACATATGCCGTGAATATATGTAAATTTAAATAGAAATGGACATTGAGAATTAAATGTACATGTTACGCGTGTATTTTTATACTTGTTGAGATCATCATAGCGGTTTCTGAAAGCCAACAAATCTTTTCATGATGATTAATTGTAATGTGTATATATATATATATATATGTGTGTGTATTTATTATCTTGAATTAAGAACACGAGAGAATTTTATTTTATTTCTTGTTGCATAAAACAATGACTTTTATTCGAAAGTAACTCAGCGGCTATAACATTTCAATTGCCTAATTAATTTGTCCCATTATAACTGATAATGTATTAAACATTAATAAACTGTATTTTTCTTCTGTTCCAGATAATTGTATAAACTTGGTTCGCGAGAAAACTTCATGCAGGTACGTGATGCATATTACATCCTTCAAATTACATCACATTATTAAAAGAAACAATAAAAGAAAAAAAAAATAGCACAATATTAATGGGAAATTTCTAATTTAAACTTCGACACTCGATATAATGGATATTGCAAACCATGAATCTATCCTCACGTAACGTTTCTTAAAAGACGCCGAAAGTAGACAGTGAAAAGTTTCGCGAAATAATTTTCACTTACTCTCGTTTCTATAATCTCTTCCCCCCTCTCCCTTCTCCCTTCGTGAAACTTGGCCGCGTTTTTATAAGTTTAACCTCGGGTATCCGTCTTCAATCTCGCTAATCCTATAAAAACTTTCGCCGAATATAATCCCCCTCCCCTCCCCCCCCCAAGTCTCTATAGAAACGAACAATACGACCAAGTTAATATTATCACTTTCGCGCCGCTTTATAAGCTTCGCGTTCAACAAAGATCGCGGAAAGTGGAGAAATTTTAAAGTTTGTTTCGCCGACGATCGATCGAATTCTAATTGTCGTCGATTCCAAAGAAAGACGATTATCCGATACGTAAACAATCGGGGAGGGGGGGGAGAGGGGGGAATACTTTATCATTCGTTTATTCGAAGTGACGAGTCTTAATATAACCGTGGCCGCGACAAAGGGGATCGTTCTTTTGAAAGTTTCACAGTCGGTGAAAACACAGTGGCAGTCGTTAAAACAATTTGCAAAGTGAAAATCGTAATGAATAACGTATGAGTCGTATCGGGCTGGTTTATTTCCGTGTCTCGATAACACGGTTCAATGACGCATTATTCCACGCATCACCGACAACGAATTAAAACTTTATCTCTCTCGTGCCACGCGATGTGTGGGGTTGTTCCGCGCATTTTGCAAAGATATAATGTATTCGTTGCTGCGATTCGTTGTAATGAAAAATTATTTCTGCACTATTATATATGTATATGCTGCTTTAAGATTGAAAATAAAATAACAAGGAATATTTGTATATATATATATATATATATTCAATTTAATTATTTTTGTTTTAATATTCTATTTTTTATTTGAAGTTTGAATTTAAAATTTTATGTTAAATTTTCATTAGAAGATTTTAACAAGCTCGAAAATTACAATTTTATTATTAGAGAATTATTTAAAAAAGATGAATGAAACAAAATATAAGGATTGATGTAAAAACAATGGATGATTGAATCTGACGCCAAGAAAATGGATGATGTTTCGAGATAGAGATGATTCGAATACCTGTCAACGTGATCATATCTCGCGCAAGATCTGACGAATACCTCCGACATTTTCGAGAATACGATTTCCTTAAGGTGCGCGATATTTTTGAGGAAATACCATCGAAATACGTGAATTATTCAAACATCGGTGGCGCCCTCTGTCAGCTTCGAGATATTCGACAAAGTGCCGAAAGCTATCGGATAAATTTAAAAAAAAAAAAGAAAAAGAAGAGACGAAGATTTATTTACGGATTCCGTTGATTATAGCGAGACGACGAAGTTCGAGAGGAACGAAGCCGTTGATGCTGTATTCCATTGAACTTTCGTATCAAAGTGGAAAAAGAATCGTCGGACTAACGAGTGCAGCCATACCTCGGATTCCAAAACTCTCGGATTTACCCAGAGAATATTTTCTCCGGAATACGAATCGTCATCGAAATAAATCTTCTTAAACCAGAATTGATTAAACTAAGATAATAATAAAAAAAAAAAAAAGAATCTTAAAATAACGCGCGAGAGATTTCAAACTTATTTTAAAAATCACGATCAGGATCGTTTTACCGGCCAAAAGAAAACTCAAAAGCATCTCACCATTTTATTCCTTCCAATTGTTACCGATAAACAACGATAATGAACGTTCACCGTTCATACTTTTTTTAAAAAGAAGCATCGTATTTTGAACGAGACTCGAGTTTTCCTTCCCCCCCTCCCTCGTTCAAATTATACGTTTCGATTGTCGTAACGCGCAAATTTTTCCAACAGAATTTACGAGCTACGTCCGTTCCACCAGCTATACTTACCCGTAGCTGCAAAGTATCGCTCGCTGCAAAGAAACCATTCCGACCAACTCCATTACTCTCATTACTCTGCCTATTCCTCTGCACGTCCCCCGCCCCCTAATCCCCAACTCGAATCTCCCATCGGTTCCCAGTCGTTTGCAGGCCGGGGCCTGTGCCCCGTATATTTTCGTCGGCGACGTTTCTTATCTCGGGGAACTGTACAGATTCGCGGCGGTAAACAATGCCTGAAGCCGTTTCACGGGTCAAGGAGCCGCGAACCGGCCAGGTGAGCACGTGCTCGAGAAAGTCACGTTTTCGCACGTGGGAAGGAGAAGGAGGGGAGGGACACATTCATCATAAAAAGCTCGTTACAGCACCACTTGTTGTCCGAGCCTCAAGCCTTTCGACGTGTCTACTGTGCCACGAGTGAGTGGCTTCTCGCTCGTCTGAGTGGCGTCGTTTTCTACCTGGCAAATTGAGGATAAAATTGCTCGCGGTGGATCGCTTCTTTCCGTATCCTCCGTTCCATCGCGTGCTGTTCTAAACGTTGTCGAGAGAGAGAGAGAGAGAGAGAGAGTCAGTAGTTTCTATTACTTTATTCTCTTCTTTCTTCTTCTTGTTTCGTTTTTTTTCCTTTCATTTTAAAGATTTAGTTTAAAGATTTTATCGAAGATGGTGCATTATATTTACGAATTGTTGTTTATAATTTTTTTTTCCCCGTTGCACAATACAATATTTCAATACGTTTTCAACGAACATCCATCATCCTCTCTTTGTTGTATATGTATGTCGAAATGTAAGAGGAAAGTGTACCGACGAATAATGAGAAAAAGTATCGTAGCATAACTCACACGCGATACTATAATGGCGGGATTCGTAAGGTGGGCTACTCGAAGGTCAATTCAGAAGCACTTAGCGCGCCACGAAACGGGTTGATAAATTGGACTCGAAAGAGGCAACATCTGTTCATGTTTCGAAACGAGTTCGAAAGTTCATCGCGAAGCAACGGCCTCTGCAACGGTACGTCGACCGTTCGGATCTGATCGTTCGTGCGTGCGGTTTCGCGTGAGAATCGAATTTTTTCCCCCCGCTAAACTAAGATTAATATTGGCCACAAACAGACGCCCAACGCGTACGGGATTTCTTTTTTTTTTTTTTTTTTTTTTTTTTTCGTTATTTTTCACCATTGTACGCGAAAATTCGATAAAAGCGATGAAATTTGAGAGAATAGTTTAAATTTTTAATTCCATAGTACACGATCGTGTAATAGTCTTTCTTTCTTTCTTTCTTTCTTTTCTGTCATTGATGTAATGTCGTTGTTGATGAGTATTAAAAAAAAAATTTTTTAAAAAAAAAAATTTTAAAAAAAAAAATACTTTTCTTGATATATTCTATAATTAATTAAGACAATTATTGTCGCTCGAATTTAAAAGTTGAGTTCTTTATAAGAAGAGTTAGGATTAAAAAAGAGATCAAATAGAAAGATTTGATTATTTGCATATAAATGAACGATATAATAATTTTCAATACAACGCAGATCGATAAATTATTGAATATCATTAAATCAATCGTCGAACGATAACCAAAGAAGGCTTTTATGAAGAAAGGCTTACTATAAATGTGAGAAAAAAAAAAAAAATTGTTGCGCTGATTAAATCCAATCGAAACATTGAAAAATTTTGAAAACCTGTATCGTGCATGATTTGATTAAATAGAAATTTAGATTTTAAACGAAAGAAGCAATAAAAACGATGAAAAAAAATAATTGAACGATATTCAATACACTTTGCAAGATAAATCTATACGTATTTATATCATTTCAACTAACTCTTGCCAATCATTGCACAACATTTGCCCGAACGTTCATTTTCAGTATACGAAAATGACGATAAAAAAAAAAAAAAAAGAAAAATAGAAGTTAAATCAATATATCATCACGTCCAGCCCCCCTCGATGTTTTTCCCACACCGTACCGGCCACCATACGATTCCCGATTTTCTCGTTTATTTACAACAGATATTAATATCTCTAATTATCAAGCAATCCGTTATTTACCCGACTTCGTATTATTTGCACGATTATATTTAATGAACAGTCGCGAAATATTGATTCGCTCGGTCATTTTCGAGCTACGCTCACGATCCAAAGGCTTAAAAGGGTCATCGTTCCAACGAATATCAGATAAATAAACGAAACGAGAAAAAAGTATATAAATGGAATTGAGAAATAAGTATCGCGAATTTCGAAAGAAAAGAAAAAGGAGTGAAAAAAAATAAAAATAGGATTAAAGGATAATAGAAGTAGAAAGGGGTTTACGAGGGGTAGACGCGATTCTAGGCGGATCGCGATTCCTCGCAGTTTTGAAATCAGTGGGGGGATATACGCGTGGCCGTGGCAGTCGTAGACTGAGCTAGGATTTTTTTTTTCTTCCTTTTTTCTTTTTTTTTTTTTTCTACCATCCATTTTGCCAGCGCGACAGAACGGGCCACAGGCGAACTGAGCCACGTTGGATGGATATAAAATGGGTAACGCGGGTGGAACGATAACGCAGAGCCACGAACGCGTTCCATTTTGCCTGAATATCGAGTGGCGGGAGCAGTCGACTTCTCGATTGTGTGTTATTGGGTGCTTTCGACGCGCGTCCGATTTCCACCTGGGACGTCGAAAGGGAGAGGAGGAATGGAGGAAAAGGGAAAAAAAAAAAAGAAAAGAAAAGGAAAGAAAGGGGGAAGGAACTTTTCCCCTTACGCGTTCCCATTTTCGCACAACGCGCTCGTGCTCGGAAACACGAAGGGAAAACGAGAGAAATAAGACGAAGTTTTCGAGTGGCCGACACACAACGCGAATTTCTATTCTTCTTCTTCGAGCTCGTACACATCGGTCGTGTTATACGATGCGTGTTTTTTCTTCTTCCCTCCTTTCTTTCTTCCTTTCTTTTTTCTTTTTCCTTTTTTTTTTTTTTTGGAAGTCTTTTATGGAACTGTTTCCTCACCCTTGTTT